CAGCCCCCCCCCCCCCCCGCCCTGTTCTTCCTGAGAGGCCAGCACTGGCAGAGCCGAGACGTCTGTTTGTGCGACCTGGTTTAGGGTTTAGGGTTTAGGGGTTTAGGGGTTTAGGGTTCAGGGGTTAGGGTTTAGGGGTTTAGGGTTTAGGGTTTAGGGGTTTAGGGTTTAGGGTTTAGGGTCACGGTGCCGTCGTAGCATCTCAAACGCAATAGTCAGCTGCTGGCCCGAAGTTCGAAAGCATACAAAGCTAACAACTAAGCCCTCAATTCAAAAGACCCTAAGCCCCAAACCAAAGAGCCCCAACTATCTAACCCCAATACAAACCCTATAAACCTAGACTCCTAAAGCCATGACAGCTCTACAATCTCATAGACCTCGTAATTTCGACACCACCACGGGAGCCTTCGCTAGTTTGCTGGTCGACGTTTTCACGAGGTCCAGCAGCTCAATACCGGGAGGATTGGCCTTGTCTAGGCTTTGGAGTCTTATCCACGAAGAAACCCTAGCAGGCTTCTATGGCAGGCTTTGGGGTTCAGGGTTTTGGTTTGGGATTTACGGGTCTGGGTTTCAGGACGTCGGTTTTGAGGGTTTCAAACCATCGAAGGTTTCCGCAGAGACTTCCAAAAACCGCCTGCTGCCAATAGGCCGGAGAATGGGTAAGTCACAGGCTGCATGGAAGAAGTGAACGCGAAACAGGGTTCCTTCGGATCTGCCTGTTTGCAGACTACAGCTCTGCACGAGCTGCGCACTGCAACTCCAAGCGGAACGGGTATTCAGACAGTGATCAGGTGTTCCAAGAACAACAGCTGCAAAGCCTAAGTGGGCCTAGATGCCAAGCCCACAAAGACCATATCCTTTGACCCAAAGCTCTGAATTCCGAGCTCGACGGCAGCGATCTTACTTTCGGCTTCAAGCTTCAAGCGACCCTGCAGACATATTCTGCATATGCACATCCTGTCCTGGCGGGCTCAAACCTTGTAAATGCGAAGAAGTAGGGACTATAGGGGCCAAGCTTAACCCACAGCCCATAAAGGACCCAATCACGATCTAGAAGGACAACAGCACAATGCCCAACTCCCTCCCTGCCTCGTTCCCGAAAAGGAAGACCGATCTTGCATCGTGGGTCAGCTGGAAGACCTTTCGGGGCTCGGTAGGCCTGCGGGCCTACGGGTCCCCACACACTCTTCTTCAACTCAAGGTGCAGAATTCAGATTTCAGAAGGGTTCAGGGTTTAGGGTTTAGGGTTTAGGGTTTAGGGCTGAAAACATTGGATACTCCAAACAAATCTCATGGATTCCCTGGCCTGCTTCTGCACCTGGTCCACGGTGGCCTCGCAGACATTCTGCTGCCGCGTTGCACAACCGTAAACCACGCGTCCAATAAACATAAACCCTGAACCCTGTACCCTCCCCACACTCTTATCTGAAAGATAACCCTAAACCCTAAACACTAAAACCTCAACCCTAAACCCTAAACCCTTCCTACCACTGATGTCTTCCGCGGCTCAGGGCTCAAGGGAGTCTTGAGTTCAGGAGCTGCAGGGTTGTGTTTGTTGAGGGATTCGCAAGCTGATCGCTGGCAGAGGGCTTTAGGTTTTGGGGCTTCAGGGTTGAGGTCTAGCATAGCTCTTCGGGATTTGCTGAGAGCTGCGAATATTTGATAATTTAACTCGTAGAAGGTCGTGGACCCCGACAAACACCCCGAAATAATAGTAATCGAGATCCTGATTGCGAGAACTGGCTGCAATGATTGCAAGGCCCCGTAGCAAGCCACCCCCCGGACTTGAGTTCTAGTTATTTAACGCATATAGGGATATTTTATTTAAGTCTGGTCGTTCAAAACCGGGTTGAAGTCTCAGGATTCAAGGGTTAGGGATGTTTCGGTCGAGATTTTCGAGTTCAGGAGCTACCTGCAGCCGCCGAAAACCGGAATAACGTAGGTTCTGCAGGGTTCGGGTGGGGTTTACGAGGCATCGCCCGCCTGCTGCACTTCCTGCGCCACATTGCAGCGGAGCCAGCTGGCCAGCGGGTCCTCTCTTCCCAAATCAATAAGAGCATGTTGCTCTAATCCTAACCCCCCAGGTACCTACTATATAGGGTACTAGAGCCCGTAGGGCCCTATATAGCAGGTACCTGGAGGGTTAGGGTAATATTTACGGCCTCTTTCTGCGCCACGCCTATAGAACCCTACACCGAGAGACGAGAAAGCCTAAAACCCGAACATAGTACGCGGCTAGCGGAGAAAGTATCGCAATGGACCGTCTAGTAGCCCCTTGCCTAGCTCGTGTAGTTGGGAGTTGGGGCCAGACTTCATAGGTCTTTGCCCATGAGGGTAAGTAGGTAGACACACATTTTAAAAGGCAAGACCGACAGGCCCCTCGCAGCAAAATGCCCCCAGTCAGTGCCGCATGAACCTAAGCACACTACACCCGCAACCCTAAGACAAAGACTTTTGACCCTAATCTCCTATAGGGTTTAGGGTTTAGGGGACCCTAAGACCCTAAGACCCCTGAGCAAACCGAATGTAGGCCTTGATGCTTGCCTTGCCGGACATCCAGTTCAATAAGCAGGAACCGACCAGCCTCGGACTTCTCTGCTGGGCGGCTGGACCAGCCTGTAGGGCTCAAAAAATAAGGCTTTAGGCTTTGGGAGTTGAGGGCTACATCGTTTAAGTAAGGGCTAATGAACCTAGGGTTGAAGGTCTAAGGGTTTCGGACTCATCATCGTCTTCTTCGTCAAAACCACCTTCAACAACATAACAACATTCATCTAAGCTCAGAGTGAGCGTCGCATGCTTTGTCATTTTAGACCTACACTGCCCTCTGTGGCTCATCGGGATTGAGAGGCGCAGAGCACCATCATGGTACTGCCATCACGGGCAGCAGTAGCTGCGGTAGGTAGCACCGGTAGTACGTATTTCATAGCAGCAGCAGTGGCAGCAGCAGTGGCAGCAGCAGCAGCAGCAGCAGCAGCAGCAGCAGCAGCAGCGGTACCAGTATCAGTGCTAGCGGCAATGGAAGCAGCAGCTCTTCCAGAAAGAGCTTGAATCAGCGCCTTGAAGGGACAAGAGTTCGAAGAAGGACTGCGGCAGTCTCTGAACGTCCTCTGGATCTCTTGAGGTTTCTGGACATGGAGTGGCTTTCTCTCGGACTCGGGATTTGGCTTTGGCGCTCCGCTTTAGCAACACTATACATGCAGGCTTGATAAGAAACAGCTCATTCCCTATATCGACCTGACCAGGTACCTAGTCGTTACTACAGACAAGTTAGTTCTAAACCTAGGAGCAAAACAGAGGAAGAGGCGCAGCGCTTGTTTCTAAGCACATCAAGCCGAAGAAGAGCCTGGAAAGAAATTTAGTAGAAGGTACTCAAATATAGGCGTTTTTGAGGGCTTTATAACCAGGTCTTTAGTAAAGGTTTTGTAGGGCTTACCATCTGAATACTGCTCAAAGGCAGGATTTCAATTCTAGTGGAGCCGGCTCAGCTTTCCTGCGTAGGGATTAGGAGATGGGCCCTCGTTGCACTGAAGATTGGTGATGCAAAGCACTGTCGTCGAAGCACCATGAATGTGACACGTACCTGGGGTGTGTTTCCACGACCTCCCAAAAAAAGACTGGTTCACACCGGCTAAAGATCGCACTAGGGCTGCAGCCAAAGCATGTGGCCCCACACCAAACCTTATGTCTTGCAACCCCAATTCGTAACAGCCCTGAACCCTAGGGAACCCAAGAACCGAGAAAGGAACGCAGAGCCACCCAGCTTTAATAAGCCCCATAAACCCGGAGCTCCTCCAACTTTCGGAGACCCAGGGTGTAAGCACCGCGGGCGTCCGTAACAGCGATGAAGACCTGGCAACGAAAAGACACCAACGTCCACAGAATGTAACGAGGCGTTTCGAGGGAATTCAGGACTGGATCATTTTTTCATCCAGGCTCTACTCAAAATATCATCGATGCCATGTGAAATGAAAAAGCGAAGATCCAGCGCCGTACATCTCCATATAGCTGTAGAGCCGGGTCCAAAACAGAAACATAAAATGCAGCTGCGGGGTTCTTCCAGGGCCCAAGAACTGATGGTGCCTAAACCTCGAACCTAAATAATGAATCCTTGACAGGCTTCCGGGTTCCTGGTCCCAACTCCTAGCCCCAAACACTACATCCTGATCCCTGAGCCTATGATCGAGTGAGTGCGAGGCTAGGATGCTTCAATAGACCTTACATCCGAAGAACAGAACACCCATGCATCGATTTTTTCATGCTGCACAAGAAGCACTCTTCAGACAGAAGCCGATATCCCTTGTATTACCAGCCTTGCCCCACCAAAGCTTGTTCGAACTTTCAAGCCGACCGTATTAATTGGCGGCATACATATTACGGTGTGAATGACAGACATGATCATGAATGTAAAGAACAGCATCATCAGCATCAGCTTCAGCATCGGCAGCACATTCGTCGTCATCATCATCACCACCAACATCACCGTAGCAGGAAAGAACTCAAGTCAAACCTAATCATGAAAGTCTTATTAATACCCCTGCAAGGAGTGTTCAACATAAAAAGTTGCAAATGATGCCATGACTCATACGTCTGTTCCTGCGAGCCAGCAAGTGGCATGGGGCTGCTAGTCGCAGCATAGGAATTTCGATTGCAAGGATGCCATAACTTCGCCCTTATTCATGGCTGCCAGTGTTCATGTTGACGCAGAGATCATCAGCACAGCTTGCATCGTTGGCAATGCAAACATGACGGGTCAACGGAGCTAAGGAAGAGAAGGTACACGGACAGCGAGACGTTGGGCCCTGGCGCACGCAAGCATTTAGTAGTGAAGACTCCTTTGGGGTGCCATCTTGCTGAGGTTCCTTCCAGCACACTAGCGCTTGCATGACGCTGTCTTAGGCAGGATCCCCACAACCTTCCATCTTTGTAAGAAACAGTAGGACTTCGAGTACTAGACTACTACAGCCGACGGTGCATATGGCTCAGGCAGATGACAACAACAACGATGCAGAGTCTTGGCGGAAGTATCACTACACATAGATCAGACCTGTATATTCACACCCAAATCCCACAGAGCGTGCCAAGAGCAGCACCGTCAGACAGATGTCGCCTCGAATGTGACCCTGGTCCCTGGTCACCCCATGAGTGTCATCATCACCTGATCCCCAAGCTTCCCGTTGCTCATGCGCGTGCGAAGCTCCAAGCCAAGCCCCGAATGGCTACGCCGATTGATGGACCCCTAAAATGAGCCGCTGATCCCTAACCCCTTAACCCCTAGTGTAGGGGGCCTAAATAATTTGAATAGGGTTTTGGGTGCTCCTTATTATAACTGTAGTATAATATACCGACAAGCCCTCTTCTAACTATTACTGTAAGGCCCCTATATTACAACTGGATCCTTAAATCCTAAACCCTAAGAAACCCTGGAACACGCTGGTCCCTGAATCCCGAGGCTCCAGCCGCACCAAAGCGTGCAAAGCTCGAAAAGGAACATTGTAAAGTCCTCCTGCGCCATGGCCTTCAGGGGCTGCAGCGCTGTCGAGTATAGGGCTCGGGGGCTGCGAGTTTCCGGTCGAGTAGTGGTCATGGAAACAGGAGTCGTAAGAATTGGTACCATGGCAAACGCAAGGCTGACCTCTCTTTATCTTCCTGGTAACAAGTAGCACCAACAGACCCTAAACCCTAAACCCTAAACCCTAAACCCTAAACCCTAAACAAGAACAATAGGAACTCTCGAGTTGTTTGCTTGGGTTTCCATGGCTCTTCGGGCCCAGGAGGCTAGTCGATAGCTGCCCGAATGCAGCCGAGCCTTGTGCGGTTATATGCCATAGGACCAACCGACAAAAAGGCTAGCACATAAGCAAAGAAACATACGACATCAAAATCATAGGCCTTAGTTCCGTGGTATGGTGTGCATGTGACTGCAGGTGCCACTTGACGGTTGTAAGTTCCATTCACACTTTGCTTACAAACCAGTGATGGGCTCCCTCCCTCACTTAGCATCAGAAACCATCGTCAAAATGGAGCACTAGAACCAAAACCAATCACATTGAGAGTGAAAATACCATGTTGACAATAAGCGTCATCTTCGGCATAAACATAGTGGCACAGCCAGAAGCAGCCAACCTCCTGACCCTCGCGGATATCTTCGCTCCAGTCGCCAATGGCCTCGGCAGCGACGTCTCTGGATGATCTGACGCCCTATACCCAAGCCCTCCGAACTTCGCTCATCTCTAAGGATGGTGCGCGGAACAATGTCTTCTCAAACTCATAATTACTCATGTTCACAGGGCCCAAAAGCAACGGTCCTTTCAGCAAGGCGTTAGGTCTCTTGTCGACAACACACCGGCAAAAGCGCAAGGAAACTCCACAAACAGAATTGTTTGCAATACTGGCGCGAACTATGTCCCTGACATCTCAGGCCAAACCTTAAGGTTCCACCGAGCAGCCTATACAAAAAAACTTGGAAGCAAAACTTTCCAATAAGTTTGGTAGTTGGATGCCCTCCAAGCTCTGGTTGAACCTGTGGCCAAACGTCAAAGTCTGCAGGCTGCTGGGAAGTTGGATGCCTTGCAAACTCTGGTTGAAGTAGTTTCCGAACGTCAAGCTCTGCAGGCTGCTGGGTAGTTGGATGCCCTGCAAGCTCTGGTTGAACTCATCGCCAAAGGTCAAAGTCTGCAAGCTGCTGGGAAGCTGCATGCCCTGCAAACTCTGGTTGAAGGAGTCTCCGAACGTCAAGCTCTGCAGGCTGCTGGGTAGTTGGATGCCCTCCAAGCTCTGGTTGAAGTAGTCTCCGAACGTCAAAGTCTGCAGGCTGCTGGGTAGTTGGATGCCCTGCAAGCTGGTTGAAGTAGTCTCCGAACGTCAAAGTCTGCAGGCTGCTGGGAAGTTGGATGCCCTGCAAGCTCTGGTTGAACTCATCGCCAAAGGTCAAAGTCTGCAGGCTGCTGGGAAGCTGGATGCCCTGCAATCTCCGGTTGAAGGAGTCTCCGAACGTCAAGCTCTGCAGGCTGCTGGGTAGCGGGATGCCCTGCAAGGCCCGGTTGTCAATGTCTGCAGGCTGCTGGGTAGTCGGATGCCCTGCAAACTCTGGTTGAAGGAGCCTCCGAACGTCAAGCTCTGCAGGCTGCTGGGAAGTTGGATGCCTTGCAAACTCTGGTTGAAGAAGTATCCGAACGTCAAGCTCTGCAGGCTGCTGGGTAGCTGGATGCCCTGCAAGCTATGGTTGAAGCCTCTGCCAAACGTCAAATTCTGCAGGCTGCTGGGTAGTTGGATGCCCTGCAAACTCTGGTTGAAGGAGCCTCCGAACGTCAAGCTCTGCAGGCTGCTGGGTAGCTTCATGCGAGGGGTAAATTTATCAGATTTCCACATCAGAGACGTCGTTTCGTTCAGGGCAGCAACATCTGCGTCGGACAGAGTCTTCCGTTCGAGTATGAGCTCCAAACTCCTCGCAGCACGACCGGCGCCAAGCTTCCGCACCACGTAGGTGATCTCTCCATTCTGGACTTGAGGCAACAGCGGCTGGCGCTGATCGACGACGCAACCACCAGATGTCAGCACAAGTAACTCTGCAGGGTGGCCAACTCCGGCTGCGATGCGATCCACTACGTCCAAGCCAGTTTCTGCAGAGTTGACCTCCAGCTCAAAGCCAAGGCCTGCTAGCGAATGGACGCTCACCTTCTGCGTGGCCCTGTCCGCAACGGCGTCTGCAGGCTGTGCGACGCTCAAGAGCTGCCCGGTGGCGCCTCCGGAGGCAGGCGATTGCAACGGACCCGCGACAGTGGCCTCCACAGGCCGCACCATGACTGCCCGCCGCTGCGGTGGTTGTCTACGCTTGAAAACCAGAATGCGCATCGTTGCACGGGATTCCGAAGCCATTGCTGGCTCGATCTCATGGCCGAGATAGCCGCTACTCTGGCCGCTACTGCGGTCTGCGGTGCAGCGGATTTCCAGTTTTGACCTGCGGTGCTCCATCATCTGCTGGAGGGCATTTCTACCCATCTCGCCAAGTCTCTTACACTTTAGGTGCAGCCGTTCCAAGTGACTGCATTTCTCTGTGGACAAATCGGCTGCCAAAGCAATGGCATCCTCGTCCCGCACATTCTCGCACGTGATTTCGGCCAAAGCCGCTTTCCAAGTGTTCTCCGAAGTTCCCGTGGCTACGAGCTCCGTCAGCTTGGTGTAGAAAGGCAAAGCTGCAGCCAGAACCTCGATCTTGTCACCATCCAGGTTTTCGATGAGGAGCTTGCTGGTGGACGCGGCCTTCTGGTGGAAGACCTTCGCCTGGAGCTTGAAGACCTTCTCCCTGTGCGTGAATTTTAGCTGCTGCATCCGTGCCCAGAACATGTCGGGGGGCAGCGGCACCGGATTTTCGCCCTTCATCCAAGTCCGCAAGGCGGACCACTCCTTTTCGGACCGGCACCAGCCACGTTGGTCGTAGGGCGTCTCGTTCCACCTGAGCTTAGAGATAGGCACGTCCATCATCTTCTGATCTTCCTTCCAGAAAACGAGGATCTTGGATCCGTGGGCTGCCACGCACCTTTCTCGCACGCTCTCCGGAGTCAGCGTCTCGATCCGATGTACTTCCACGGCGTCGTGGGAGTACATGACAAAAATGTCGCGGAGCGCCCGCCGGAAGAGCCGCTCCTGATCCTCGTTTCTGGTGTACTGATGCAAGGATACAAAATCGTAGAAGATCCAAACGACCGAATCCAGCAGTCGGGGACGGAACTCCTCCACGATGGCATCCAGCTGGAACCTGGCAAGCAAGGGCAACAGGAGGGTTGTGGTGATGTCTTATGAATTATCACACTGCTTCGCAGACCTATTCCTATACAACCTCCCACCCCCCAGGCCCCCCAACCTCCAGGGATCCGGATGTTGCATGCTCTCCCACATGTGGCTGATAGAGACGAAGTGGACTTTGACCCGTCTCGGCTCTGGGTGCCGAATCATCACGGACATGTGGGCGGTATGGGGATCAATCTCTATTGCTCGCAGCTCGTCGCTCTCCACGAGCGCTGGCAGTCCCAAGGTCGTCGTCTCCTGTTCCGCCTCTTGCCGGCGCGGCAAAGGCCTCCCGGACGCACGGAGATCGATCAGGTACTCCAGGCGCACCAGGCGGATACCGGCATCTTCGAGGAAGCTGATGAAACTCTCCGGCTCAGACAAGCCGTAGCTCGTCTCCTCCGCTGTGGGTGCTGCGGCCATGGCGCTCACGACGGATCCGAAGAACTTTCCTGACCCTTCAAAGACACTTCGCTCTTGGTGTCAGAGTTCCCCCAAGAAGCCAAATATACTGAACATGGTCCAGGCATACCCTATCAAATCCCTCGTCCAGTTTCTACAGAAAGACTCGAGCCCGAGCCAGGAGAGTTGCGATGAAGTCTGAGATCATTCTGAAACATAGGGTGGGCACCTTCTTTAATTTCGGGTTCCGTACATAAGAGTAAGTGTCCCACTATGCATACAGCGGTCCTCATATTGCAAGAACAAGGGGAGCTGCGACCGAAGTCAAGCCAAGTTGCTGAATCCACCGCTCGTTCGAGCTGGAAGTCCTCTCGGGGGTTCAAGCTTTGGCTTTAGGGTTTAGGGTTTTGGGATTTAGGGCTCAGAGCCCTGCCGGTTAAGACAAGTTGCCATCACTAATCTCACTTTACTTCGTGCGACTGCTGTGGGCCGGCTTATTCTTGTTGCGACGGCTCTGTCCAAGGTCGAAACTGGAGGAACGACGGAACCCCAACATGGCCTCCGAATCGTTACAAACCAGGACACCCAACAAGAGTCAATCCGACCAGCCTCCGCTAGCGCTTTCTGCAAAGCAAGATTGAGCTCCACATACCTGAAACAGCTTCCATCAAACTAAAAAATGCAAACTCTTCCGTTCAGAGCTTCCGGGAGTCTCTGGTACTATAAAAACAGGGGTTCAGACAGAGCAAAGTATCGGGAACCCATTGCTGAAACCATGTTTCTAACTGGGTTTTGCCTCGGAAGGCTCTGGGCTCAAAGCCTACCAGGAGCCTCAATGATTCGTCCGTTTAGGCGCACCTCTTTCAAGCTCTGTATGGGCATAGAGTCCTCGAAACCTCGAATCGCCTCACCAGCCCTCAGACTCTTAGGCGCACCCTTCCATTCCAAGAGCGCCCTCTTGGAGGCTCAGAAAAGGCCAGAATCTGCGGATAGACCTCAGCAGGAGCTGGGAATTCGTTTCGCCCATTTGGTGGCTGTAGGGCCCAGGGTACTCCAGATCTTCGGCTGGGCCGAGGCATGTTGGGGGCAAGTTCAAGGGCTCCGGGGCTACAGGGCTTTACGTCGAGGACGGAGGATGGCAGCCTTCGTGTCTCTGTGGGTCCAACATCTGTCAAGAGCTCATCTGTGACGAGTTCTTCCGAGACTATAAGGCGCCTTTTCCGCATTCGCAATCATGGGGTCTCTCTTTTTTCTGCTTGTGCAATGCCAATGTCATCTTGGAAGCTCTTCGTTCAATGCTCGCATATCAGGGTACTACCTTTCAGCCTGTTAACGCAATTTTGCCTAAGTTGCTTTGGAGCTTCGCATTGCAGATCAAGAACTGCAAGGCTTGGCGAAGATGAGGGCTGACTGGTAGCAAGCGTGTCTATCCCATGCAGTCAGACAGACAACTGCATTGGTTGCACGTTGCAACTGACACCCTTGCATGTGCAGGGGTGTAACCCTGCGAACAAGATGCATCTTCCTGAATGCTAAACTTATTCACAGTGTGTTCCTGCATGATTCCACTGACAGTCCTTTACAGCAGTCTCCATCATTGTCTTCACAGTGGAGGTGATGCGACTAGCAGGGATGCAGTCAGCCTTGTGTGCTGCATCATGTATGGCTATACTACCCAACAAGACTCTACAGTTACCCTTTTTCAAGCGGAGAATCCCCGCTACGGTGTTCCGAGCGGTGATTCTGCCAACTTGATGGTCATCTTCCATCCTGGATCCTACATGGGTGAAAAGCTAAAGCCCAAACCTTAAACACCCCAACCCCCAAAACCCTGAAACTCCCAAACCCTGTCCCCTGCCCCTAATCCAAATCTCCAACACCCTACCAACCAACTTACTTCCCCAATAAGCCAGGGAAATACAAGGTTAAACTTTCAGATTGCTACTAAATCATAAGAACCCAAAAAGTTCAAAGGTTGGTTATTGGAGAACTTAGCCAAACCCTAAAAGCCCACTTCGAGTCCCGATCTGACTGAGATGCCCGGCTCCTGGACGGACCAGCACTGGAAGAGGTGCATCTTCCGCAGCAACTGGCGCATTCGGGAAGTTTCGGGTTCAGGGATCAGGGTTTAGGAGGGTTTAGGGTTTAGGGTGCTTCTGCGTGGCTTTAGGCATGGGGCTTCTTGAAGGCTGCGGAAAGTTACCGATAAACTTGCAAAGAGGTTTCCTTGGGCTTCGAGCTTTTAGGGTCTCGGTTCATCAGGGCTTTACAGGCTTACTGACGATGTCGGACAACGTTGCATGTGCGAAGACTGTGCATGTCGTGTGCCAGGGGGCACGTTCCACTCTTCAGAATGCGTTGCCACCCGCTTCACCAAGAACATCAGGATCCAAATGTCATCCCCCCTGAAGCCTTCAACACCAACACCCTTACACCCGCAACCGGCCTAATAAGACCCCAGAACCTAAGAATGGACCCTACACCCTTTTGGAGCACAAGCTTCACATATCAAAAAGCCTGGTCCTCCCTGTCGTCACTGCCTTCTCCTCTTCGTCCTGGCCATTTTCATCCTCCGCCTGGCTTAGGTCTCAGTGCTCCTTTAGGGGATACGGTTTAGGGTGTAGCGCTCTTTGCTTGTGGTTTAGGGTTTAGGGTTAGGGGCTGATTAGACTTTATAGTCCAGTGTCTTATGGTTGCCACCTCTCCACTTGGGAATCCATTAGAAACGCGCCCCGATATTGAAGCCTCGAATGGTTCGCACAGCTAGAGGGCACGGCTGAAGAACAAATCAGGCAGATTATGTTTAGCGGCTGAGGGTTTAGGATACACGGGACGCTTAAGACACTACCAGAACTTAAAAGGTTTTCTTCTCTTTACCGCGGGCAGCTTGATTGAGGTGAGGTGGGGGGGCTGATAGCCTTAACCCCTAAACCTTGACACCCTGTAGCCCACTTCATCTCGCAAGACCAGAACATCTCGACCAAAGCTTCGATTCGAAACTCCCTGAACCCTAAACCCTAAACCCTAAACCTTGAAATTCGTGGGTGCATGGCTCAGGTTTGACAGGCCCACCTCGGCGTCCATGGCGCCATTTGCGCGTGCCGGACGCAGGCTAGCCAGCACTTTTGAGAAGACGAAGAACGGAGCGATTGCGGACGGTTACTAATGTGGTTTAGGGTTTAGGGTTT